TCCGTCCATAGCGATTTGGCCTTGCAGTCGATGTCGATGGTTCGCCTGGAGTTACCCATGATCTTTTACGCTTAGGATTCTCAAAATATATCCACTTTTCATCGCCAGTCACATTTCGATGGAGAAATGACATTCTTTTGTACCTGGCGAGCAGCATTTCGCAAGTGGTTTTTCGGTTTTCCTGTTGTCTTTCATTCAGTTCATGTGGAACCCATTTTCTGGATCTTTCCCATGGCTTTCAAACGTATGGAGACGGCTTCTCGTATCACATTTAATTGATCCGCGAGTTGTTCTTGCGTTTGAGCGTCATCCTCATCCAACAATGCTTGCAATTCGCTGTTTTCAAACTTTTTCGGTGGTCTTCCACGTTCTTCGTTTCTCACGTCAAAATCGCTACGTTTGAATTTTTTAAACCACTCAAAGCACTGTGATTTATCAAGAGCATACTCACCGTAAGCTTCGACAAGCATTCGGTGCGATTCTGCAGCAGTTTTCTTCAAATGGTAACAGAAAATCAATGCTGTCCGCAAATCGTAGCTTCCAGGCACAAAATTCGATATGTTCAATGCTATTACAAACTATGCTGTTGTATGAAACTTGTATTGTTGTGAGTTGAAAATCTTTGTCAGATGTCAACAAATGCAAATGACGCCAATGACACTGTTTGACGGTAACTACATTGACAGCTAGGGCCATCTATGGGCAAATTCCGATTTCATATTTACAGACTGGTACACACTGTCCCTGAAACTTGGTCGCTTGATGGAATGTCTGGAGACTGAGTACGCTCAGCAGAGTTCACCGATAGATGAACCCCTGACTCAGGGCGGCAAGTAGAGGCTAATGATTGCCGAGCACGCTCGACTAAGTCCGCGCACGCATGAACCCAGGAAGACGGGAGTCAGCTAAATACCGAGCACGCTCGATCGGGATTGCGTACGCACAATCTCGTTTGTCTAGTCGTCGGTCGGATATTCGGAAGGCAAAGCGAAACGGTCCGGTGATTCTCTCCATCGGTATAAGCGTCTAGAGCAAATGGCGGTACGAATCGGTCTGATGTCTCGACGCGAGATCGCCGCCGTCTTATAGTCATACTCGGTACGACTGATACGGTGGCGATTACGCGGCACGCCAATCAGAGCGCGCGATAACGGCGGTGCGCGATTTTCAACAATTTGTTTGGAGCTTAGCACTGTTCGTCGACAAATAGTCGGTCGGGCCGGTAGTAACGAGGCGGACGTGCCTCGTTACAAACTTTATGGGTGCGACTGCATTTTTCGCGACAAGGAAGGTCTGGAATCGTAAAATACTGTGAAGCGAATGAACAGGGTCCTTATCCTCGCGGCGAATACGAACACGCACGCGCGCGTACACACGCACGCATGCACGCATGCATGCACACACACACACACACACACACACACACACACAAAATCGGCCCTTTTTAGGGCTACTATGATGTACAAATCCGACCGAGCAATCTCCCCTCGGTGTAGGTAATGCGAATGCCGGCGGTACGTCAACTTTGAAGCTTCATATTGTTGTGTCCGAGCCACAATGTTTGTGGCAACGTCCGTTGTCCGTGAGCCTTAGGCATCTGATGCTGATTTTGACAACTGAATGAAGATTGTCTGAACGACGGAAAATCGATATGAAGAAAACAACAACAGCTGACAGAGAGTCTCTGGCAAGCTATCATCGTAGACAGAATTGTAGATCAGAGAATTATTCTTGTTTAAAGCTTGAGTGAGCTGCGCTGTATATAGTAAAGCTTGTTATTCTTACGCGAGTGTTTTCATTTACCCGTGTGCAAGCACGAGTAAGAGAGTGAGCGCAACAATATCTTGGGAATGGCTTATGCAAAAGACAAAAGTAAATAGTGTTTTGAAAACGTCTCGACATGAGCTATAAGAATATGCAATAAAAATTCCGTTTAGGATTTTAAAGTTGACTTTTACATGACCTTCAAACGACAATCCAAGGTCAAGCTAAAGTCATCGTCAGATGTCCCCCTGTGAACCCTATAACTTTTGTTTGAAACATTTTTCAATAAAATCAGTTTGCGAAATATAACACTGTAAACTTTAAAATTGGACATCCTGTATACGAACAAATATATTGTATTCTTATGGTACTTTTATTCTATCTGATTCCTTTTAATCTATTTATATAGAAGTGCTTTTTTCCCACCCATCATCATTCTGTATACATATTCATAAAAGAACTTATAAAGAAAATATACAGTGGCGTGCAAAAGTTTCGAGCCATAGTGTCTTTTTAAGATACATGACAATATATTGATTTGCTCTAAAAATTAATTATATAACATAATTGACGTAACATTCTTACAAATGATAGTACAGTTACAAAATTTTGAAATTACATAGTTTCTATTTATTTAGTCATATAATATTTACATGTGTTCAAAAATATTCAAAAGTATTGAGTCGTATTCTTGTTATAACTTTATGAGCCCGGTTTGTTTACGTTTCTTATGAAACTTCTTCGTAAATATTTGCTTTAACTAAAGTTGAGTCTATTGTCTACCGCAATGCCGAAACATATAAGCCTTCAGTTACGCAAAGCCGTGATTAAAATTTCTCAACAAGGAAAGATTTCTTGCGAAATTGCTAATTGCCTATTAATTGATAAAAGTAAATAGGATTATTGCTAAATATAAGTTGACGGACTCTTTAGCTGACAAACCACGAAATGGTAGACCTCGCAAAACTACAAAGCGCGTCGATAAAATGATTAAAAGAAAGTCGATAGTAGATGTTAGAAAAACTACTATGGATATTTCTCGAGAACTACGAGAAGAAAATCTTGCTGATGTTAATCGAAGTACAATATCTCGACGTCTAAAGAAAGTAGGACTTTTAGGACGCGCTGGTGTTAAAAAAACCATTAATTAGTGCAAAAAATAAGAAAGCTCGATTAGATTTTGCAAGGAAATTTGAACATTGGACTGAAGTTGATTGGCGAAAAGTACTTTTCTCTGACGAGTCAAAGTTTCAGTTATTCGGAAGTGACGGTAGAAAGTATTATATATACGACGTCCAACAGGCACAAGATATAACTCAAGATATCAAATTCCTACCTGTAAAACATGATGGAGGTAACGTGATGGTTTGGGGATCATTTTCTTATAATGGAGTTGGTTCATTAGTTGAGATCACGGATACTATGGACGCTAAAATGTATCGAAATATATTGACACAGCATACACAGTCTGTCCCAGATCCAATGAGACTGGTCTAAAAAAAATACAAAGCGTTTATTATTTTGATTTTTTATTCTTGTTTATTCAAAATAGTCTCCTTCTGAGTCAATACAGCGCTGGAAACATTCAACAAATTTTTCGAAACATTTTTTATACTCATCGGCTGGAATAGCCTTTAGTATGGCGGTCGAAGTCTTTTGGATAACCGGGATGGTATCGAAACGATTTCTTTTCATCGCCAATTTTAGTTTGGGAAATAGCCAGAAGTTGCACGGAGCCAAATCAGATGAATACGGTGGACGATCGATAACAATGATGTCTTTGCAATGCTGAACTCTCCAATCTTTTTGGTCGTCTGTCAGAGTGTGTGGCACGAAGCGCACACAGACCTTCCGTTTGCCCAAATCTTCGGTCAAAATTCGATAGACTGTGCTTTTCGGTATCCCAGTTTCCTCTTCGATGAGTCTCGCAGACACACAGCGGTCACTTCGAAGAATTTCTTTGACTTTCTCGATGTTTTCTTCATTGCGAGTGGTTTTTGGTGGCGGTGCTCGGTCATCGTCTGCAAGATCCTCACGACCGTCACGGAATCGGCCAAACCAACGGAAAACCTGTGCACGGGACATACATTCATCCCCGTACACATTTTTTAGCGTTTCGTACGTTTCTGCACCACTTTTACCCAATTTAAAACAGAATTTAATATTCGCTCTTTGTTCCATGTTGGTTTTTCGACCGACGTACACAAAGTGATTTTACATAAAATGTCAAACCACAGTGAAATATCAACCGAATTCGCTCAAATTTTGAGGTTAAGTAGATGAAGGACATTCACCATCATTCACTCATAGATGTCGCTGCGCTAAGAACTTTGATGGAACCAGTCTAGGACAGACTGTGTATGCTGCCATATGCAACTCGAAACATGCCACGTGATTGCTTTTTCCAACAAGATAACGATCCCAAACATTCATCAAAACTAATAAAAGAATTTTTCATCATGAAAAAAATGCGAGTTCTTGACTGGCCCTCGCAATCGCCGGACTTGAATCCTAGTGAGCATTTCTGGCAAGAACTCAAACTATGTACAGAAAATAAGAAACACTCCAATAAAGCTGAATTGTGGCAAGATTTGCAAACTCAATGGCAAAATTTACCTCAAGATCTCATTTCTAATTTAATAGCTCCATGCCTCGCCGTTGTGCTGCAATGATTGCTTCTAAAGGCATAGCAACAAAGTATTAAATTTAAAAAAACGTTGACAACATTTTCTGTTATTATTTTTCAATAATATATTTTCCTTATGCATAAGAAAACTTTTTGGCGCAATACTTTTGCACTGTTTGTAATAAGACATTGTATAAAAATGAAATATTTGGAACTATTAAGAGTTTGTAAAGTTTATATAATTGTAGGATAAATAAATACATTTTGTTTATATATATGTGTAAAGTTTTTAGTGCTCATTATGAAATGAATATATAATAATAATTGTATGGCTCAAAACTTTTGCACGGCACTGTATGTTTTATTTTGACCTAATTTATAATTTCAAAGCTCATCAAGATAATACGGAGAAGGTGTAGTGAAGTTTATTAAATCATATATCTAAAATATAACACATAATATTTAAAAAATCATAATTAATAAATTGTTATTATTTCTAGATGCGCACGTTTGATAAACAAAAAGTTTAGATTAACTATCATCATACAATTTGTTGTGAGTACATTAGTAGTATGTTTTAATATGTATCAATTTACCAAGTCAACTCTATTAGGAGCAAAGTACATGCAATTAATAATGTACATGTGTTGTATGCTGTCACAAATATTTTTCTATTGCTGGTATGGAAATGAAGTTAAGCTGAAGGTACGCTTTAAAATTAATACATGACACGATAATGTGTTCAAAAAGTATGAACAATTTTTTACTTTTGAATATAATTTACTTTATATTATTTACTTTGTATATATTATATACTTTAATATTATTTTAGCTTATATTAATTAAATATTAGATTAATAAAAAGTTTGATATGACGTTTTAAACAAATTTGATTTAATTGCATTAATTGCAAATAATTCTTTTGTCAGTCAAGTAATCATCTTTATTATCCATGAACATTAATCAACATTCTTTGAATTCGTATATTTCTATCATAAGTAGTTTATTATCAAACTTTCTAATAGATCCAATATTTACATAGTCTATTAAGGAAAAGCATGTGACTTTTAAAATGTCCAAAACATTTAAATAAAAGTAAGTATATACCTACATATACAGTGCCCACCAAAAGTTCCGGGCCACCTAAATAACTTTTGAATGGTTTGAAATATAGGATTGAAATTTATAGGGATACAATGGGATCACAAAGTTTATTATTTAAACACAAAAACATCCACCTCCACACCCCCGAAGGACGGAGAGAGGGGAGAGCTAAAAAATCTTAAATGGCATCTGGGGTTAAGTGAGAGCTCGTTCGAAAGAGCTTTCCGAGACGAAAGCAACAGGTCGCCGAGATCTCTATGACTTTTCTTTACAGAGTTATAATCATTTGAACATTTTTATTGAGATTTTGCCACAGCGAGGACTCACGACGACAACAGAAGAAAGATAAGGCTTTACGTGGGCCCGCGCGTTCCTGATTGTATATGTGCGTGCATGCGTGCGTGCGTGCGTGCGCGCGTGTCCGGCCAACCAAGGCAAGACGGGGATGAGAACACTGGTGTATGTAGGAATAAAAACAGTAATTATTTTTTCAAATGTCCAAATTGATGTCCTTGGGCAACTTGGCAGTGTCCTAAGGGAACGTAAAACGTATCGATGACGTTAAAAAAAATCAGGTGTTGAATTTGAAACGTTCACTATTTTTTCCCACAGCTCTTCTAAATTTTCGGACTTAATCTCATAGACCTTTGTTTCCAAATACCTCCAGTAAAAGAAATCTAAGGTGATCAGATCCGGTGATCTCGGTTGCCATTCTATTGTCTCTTCTACCAATCCATCGATCAGTAAAAACATCGTTGAGAATATTCCGATCTTCCAGGGAAAAATGAGCCGGAGCTCCATCCTGCTGAAACCAAACATTGTGGAAAGCTTCTCCAGCAATCCTGAATAGCCGGTATCACTTGGTTACTTAGCAAATTACAATAATTTTGAGAATTTATGTTTCTTTCAATAAAAAAACTGTCCTATAATACGATTAAGCATTATGCCGGCCCAAACGTTAATCTTCTGAGGATATTACGTGTGACTGTCTCTCATCCAATACGGATTTTCATCTGCTCAATACCTCATACTCTGTCGATTTATAAAATCATTTAATTTAAATGTTGCTTCGTCAGAAAAACAGATCCAGTTGAAAAATTGACGATTACCAGCAAGTCGTGTCATCATTTTGTTGCAAAATTCCACTCTTCTGTCATAATCGTCTTCGGATAGCTCCTGGACTAGATATATTTTGTAAGGATGTAACTGGACCAGCTTTTTTCAGAAAATTTATGACATGTTAACGAATGCCATCAAATCACTCCACAAATGTTCCAGAATGTGCGACAACGTTTTGAGCAAAATCTTTATTATTGTATGGAAGCTGGTGGTGTTCATTTTCAACATTTACTATGCTGACACATAAGGTGTTAGTTTGGTAAATACTGTTTCTTTGGAGCGTATTTATCCGGAAAATAATGAACGGCATTTATAAAATAGAACAATTTATAAATAGAACACTGTTGTAAAGCAAATTTATAGCACTTTCAAATGATATGTTGATAGACTTCCCATACCATTTAAAATTTTATGGTGAAATGAGCTTCTTTTATGGGGTAGAGGTTTAGTGAACAGAAATAGCTAATTATTATGTCCCCCTTGTAACAGAAGTTGACGTGTCTGAACGTTTCTCGAAAAAATGAGATTAAATACTAAAAAATATGCTTATTTCGTTTACGGTGGGGCATCCTGTATATACATATAGTGTGCCATGCCCTAAGTGAGCATGACGAATTACCTATAACTAATATACATTAATTAGATTGGCGAAAGTGTCATGCGAAGCACTTCCGCCTGCGCCGCACGTGTTGCAACCTAAGCATCACGCCACACAGCGGAAAGTCCAAAAAGGCAACAGGCAAATAATGCACTGTCTGCATGGACAAAGGTCGCAAGTGGCGCGATGTTTCCGCAAAATTTGCAGATTCCTTCGGCGACGAGCCTAGATAAACCGACTGCCATCGCCGAAGGAACGCTCAGAGCCAGATCACCGGCCGACCGAACCAGACGTATATCTATCTCTAAGATGCGACTGTAGCGCAGCAGCGAAAGGAGGGTCTGAGAAATAAAACCCTTTCTTTGTTAAATCATTAAGTATATTTTAACCTCCTCACTACCACCGTCTCGGCTACAATGATCCCGCAATAAGTATAAGCTTGTTACAGATAAAGAAGAATAAATTGCTGTATTGGCTGCAATTATAATGATACAATAATCTGTAAGTTATTAAAATCAGCAGTTTATATATGGAATTTCAAAAACATTAGTGTAGAAGATATTAGAAAATCATGATTTCTATCTATATATCATATACCTCTTCATCAAAAACAACAATTACATCATAGTCATAACAACAATTTTTAGAATCGTATCGTTTTTGTGAATAGGTATGTAACAATTATACGGTTATCCGGTGATTAAAACAGAGAGAAAAAAAGAGAAATCTGTGTGTATGACGTCACTGTTCTCGGAGGGTCGCGGAACATGAACATTTGATCGTATAATATAAAATTTAATTTGCCTTACTTGATAATGAATTTAGGGTACGCGGAGTTCGCAGGATGTAACAATGATATAATAAAAAATTTGGATTTCCATTTAAGAAAATTGATAATCAGTAAATATCTCGAAAATGGAGCCATCTATAAACAAAATGCTATCACTGTCCTATGTTCCCCTTCAAGCTGAACAACTTTTGTCTTAAGTATTTTTCGATTTAACGCAGTGTTTCTGAGATATTTGAGTGGGTCTTTAAAATAGGACACCCTGTATATAGGGTGTTTCTGAATGGTCTGTACAAACTTTCAGAATATGTTCCAGGGACCAAAACAGAAAATGTCATATGAATATGGGGTCGGAAACGCTTACTTATAAAGTCATAATGATTCGAAATTTTCCTGCAATAGAAGAAGAGTTACAACAATTCAAAGAACCGTCTTAAGAAAAATTTTCTCTCTTCAACATCAGATTCGAACAGTTCTCGAACAGTTTTTGAAGCACCATTATTGGCTGTTACAGGCCTGAATTGCTCAATTTCTCATAATCGCCGATTAAAGGGATCCTGGAGCGGCGACCGAACTCCAACGCGATTGCGCCCTCATCTGAGCGGAACTAATAATGTCGATAATACCGACACTTACAGTTCCGTTATCAACATTTATCGATATGTACATAAAGACACGTTCCGATGTATATTGCGAAAATATACATTGGGTGCGTTCACAACACTCAACAGTTGCGCAACTGTTGAGTAATTCGTCAACGTTATTGGTCTGAGTGTAAGGAACAGTAAGGACCAATAGTCACTAACCGCTCACTGAGCGGTTTTTTCCACTGAACGCACCCATTATGAAAACATATAGTATACATAATATATATTATAGATCTTCAATATTCGCAATGCATATCGAAATATAGTCTATATATAAAGTAATCATTTAGAACACACATAAAAATCGCAGTGAAAAGTAGAAAGCCTTTTACATTGTATTCTATGTGTTGAGATGTGTGATATCTTGAAGTTTCAGTGTTTTATCATCCTGTACAAGTATACAAACGATTTAACAGCACATAGATATGTATTTTTGTCGCACACATATTTAGAATACAATTCCATAATATAGTTCACACTGTTTTCGCTGTGTTTCTTTCGGTGCATGTATTCTCAGAGGAATTTGCATGTATTCAACATGCAAATAATATCAGAGAGAAACCTGAGAGCGGCCATCAGCGAAGGTTCAGAAATTTTTTTGAATTCGACGCGCCCCCTGAGAAAATAGACGTCAACTACGTCGACACGCCCCTTGAGAAAATAGATGTCAACTACGTTGATGTCGCTCGGTAACGAGGTTTGTCTGTAATAGTTTGGTTCATATCTGAACTACTACACAGAATATAATAAAATTTATATATAGCATCAGGAGGAATCATCCCAGCAAACACAATATTACATATAATGTGCATGTTAGTTGTAATTTCCTATTCAACAATATAACTGTTATATAACACAAATGTTATATAATAGTTATGAACTAAGATCTTTATCAGTTTTCTTTCAGTATGTATAACAGTGAAGATATGATGAGCAAAATAATTATTCGATAGAATTGTAAATAAGATTATCGAATTTGAAATACCGTATACAAAAAAGTTATTTTCACAATCATGAATAATGCTTTTAAGGAAATATCATAAATGATAACAATATATAAGAAAAATAATATAAAAACTAATGCACGTTACATGTAATATTGTGTTTGCTGGAATATTTCACGCACTGCGTGAATTATTTCGCGTAATTAGGAAAGGAAATTATTTGGGAACTTTGGATATAAGAACCCAGTAAACACAGTTACATAACAGTTACATTGTCGTAATATAACGAAATGTAACACGTAATATAACGTGTACATTACAAGCAATATACATGTTAGTTGTAATTTCCCACTCATAGAAAGTTGCAGTTACATAACAGAAATATCACATGTTACTAAAATGTTATATAACTGTAATATTATTGTTATGTAAAAAAGTTTACTCCTAATTTTCTCGCGTCTTGCATCCGTCGATAGCTTCGATTCCAAGCGATCACCCTTCCATGT